AAAATGCATGCATGCAAATATTTAATTTGCAGATCAACGGCTTGTATAATTTTTTGCTCTAACAATAACGTCTTCGTTTTGGATTTTTTTTAATATATAAAGTACTTCCAATTTTAATATTAATATCAGAACCAAAGAAACTCATTAATTCTGTCTTAAAATTAAAAAAAATTTCTAATTTTGGTATACTTTAAAACTGTCTACTTTAGAAAAATGAATCAATATTAAATAAGGTGACATAAAAAAATGAAATAAAAACTCTTTTGGCCTATTTATAAGAAAACAAATGATGATAGTTAAAATTTAAATATCTTTGATTTGTTTCTTTATAAAAAATAAACTTGGAGGGAGTCTCATATATGATACCTTATAAAAATAATCAAAAAGATTTTATCTTATAAATAAGATTACAAAGAGGGTAAAATAGTAGATATTATAAAATATACTCTTCTATCTCAAATCATAAGACAACTTTAAATGTATTTCATTGTTAAATATAAAATCATTCGATAAAAATAAGATTTTGTTAATAATATTTTTAATATTATTTTAAAATATAATAATTGATCCCTATAATTTTATTAGGTTTTGTTTTTAGTTTTTATATTTTTTTTAGTATTTTCAGTCTTTTATAATCCATGTAATTTAACATCATTATGGACCTAAAAAACAAACGTCACCTAATTTTGTCCAAATTATAAGAACTAAAAACACTGAAAAAAAAAGCAACAAGAATTAAAAGCAAAAGCAGATAAAATTACTATAGGGATCAATGGATTGGGTTTTCCCATATTACTTTTAAGTGGAGAAAGAATTGAATATAAAGTTACATTAGTAAATGAAAGGCATTTGTGAAAATTTATATTTTATTTTTAAAAAATAATTAAATTTTTAAAATATTATCATTGAGTTTTAATGATATATAAGTGTAATTTTATCTTAAATTATTTTATAATTTAAGACGAGGAGGAGCTGGTAATGATCAATGACTCAAGAATTATAGATGATGGAATGATATGGCATAATTGATCAATTTAAAGACGAAAGAAACACACTAGTAATTGATTGTAATCATGTTATATATTGCTTTTGGTTTTTATTATAAAACATTTTTAATCATTTTATATATCTTAAAAAAATTAATTTTTTCTTGATATTATGTAAAAATAAGATGTACTTTTTTTGACCATTGACTTTTAAAAATAATACAACTACATTGAATATCTTCATGTTAATTAATAAAAGATAAAATTAAAAAATAATTTAAATATTACAAGGTGTCTCATATTTTGAATAAAAAAAATACTTTTAAAAGGTATCCTACAAATAAGACTGGAGAGAATATAAATTAAATATCATTAATGATGATGATTAATTAATGTGGTTTGAATTTGGCAGGAGCGTTGTCATTTTATGCAAGAAAATCACATACACATAACATGAATTAGTCATACATTTTGGCACAAGCGAACCAAATTATTACTAAAATGTGGTGCTTTTATTTAGAAATAGGGAAGACATCGACTTGTTCATACGAACCAATGATATGGTTATTGATAGACCAACACAACTTCATTTGATGCTTTCACATACACTCGGGAGTTGATTAATTAATGATCATGTTCCCAAACTTTATTATGGCGTTAATTTTGTCTTTGTTTCTTCTACACCTGATGGATCTGGTCATACCATTCCTGTATTGTCTTCTTTATTAATTATTTTGATCATATATTCCATCCGGTTCTTTGATAAGATACTAATTATATTTTTTTGATATTATATTTATTTAAATGCATTAACTATACATGGAAAAATATAATACAAAATTAAAATTTTTTTATTTAAATAAAAATAGAATTAAAAGTTTATTTTATTTTCAGATAAAATTAATGACTTAACTTTTTTTTTTAAAATTCTAATGGTGCAGTGAGGTAGTTGAATTTAATTTGTTTTATAATAGAGATCGAATGAAATATAGTTAATTCCCAAATCTCTCATGTTGAAACCTAATTAGCTACAATTTCTAATTTTATGAAATTTAAATCCATGCCAACTTCACCTATCTTTTTCCACCTTAAAATAATAATTTTAATTATCATTGTAAAGCGGTACCGGAACTTATTTATGTCAAATTTATAATTGTAATTGATCCGAAACTACAAATTGATTTGCAAGCCCAAAATGAAACCCTACAATTTGATTAATTCAGGATTATTGAATTGTTAGTAGCATATTCTTAGTCAAACCATAAACAACCTCAATTAACGTTGTTCAATTTAATCATTACAATTTTAAAGATGATCTAATTAAGTTGATCAAAGCATCAACTTTTTTATTAACATTATTGTCTAGTTACCTAATTAAAAAAAAAACTATTTGTCCACGCAGGTCAAGTCAATGAAGAACAATAACTTTTTTTGTTTTGGTAAACGAAAAAACTGTAACTTACTGTTACAATTTATGAATAAGCATTTTTCCTTGCATGAATGTTACAAAATTTATTATTCCCTCAGTTTGGATAATAAGTAAATTACTTAATTAAACTAAAAAGATCCGACATAGTTGACACATTGTTAAACTCTCAAGCAAGTTATCAAGGATTCTTGGTTGAAAAAGGTAAAACCTACACACACCTCAACATAATGTTTCATAAAAGCTCCAATTAATGGACAAATTTATAAATATTTAATATATATATATATATATATCATACGCAAATTAAGGTAAAAGAATTTATTGTTTTTTAATTTCCTGAAATATATTAATTTGGAGTCCCATTTTATTTCAGAATTGCCATCTTTATATGACCTATATTAGAATGTTCGCTGAACTTTTTATGGGACACTCCGCTTATTTAAGGAAGGCGGAATAAATAAAAATTCATTGAATGGGATGTGAGTAGATAAAAGTTCCAAAATCTTCCAATCACAACACTGCGCTAAATGAAAACAAGTGCCATATTACACAAACACGCACACATTCATCCTCCCTACCCTAATTAACACATAAAAAATATTACCATATTAAAAAATGCCGTTAAGTGAGACAATTTCTTCGTTTATTCTAACTTTGCTGGAAGAAATCAATTTGTCTACCAAAATGTCCCAAAAAAAAAAAAAACAAATTTCCCACCACCACACGTACAGGGACATGCCCACTTACTTTTGTTGATTTTGATGCGTGAACACTTAAGTTTCTAAAGTTAATAAATTCCATTGAGATAATTCAGTAGCTATTATTTTTCTCTGGCCTGCTGATTCGGTGATTGACGAATGACTGAGTTTTGGCTGACTTATAAACTTCAGAAATTAGGTGTGTTCTTAATCATTAGCAAACGAATCCTGATTATGAGCCCAGAAGCCATAGATAATAGGCAAAAACTGGGCAAGCATTTTTGGCAATGTTGGAGATGGTGATCAAGTTGAAAATATATCACTTGCAAGACCACTCCATAACCAGCACTAATAATGATTATTTAGAGGTGATTACGGAGAAGAGGGTCCTCCAGCTGCAACGAAACAATTGATAATTCACGCAAATCAAGTCTGTTAAAGAGTTTCTCATAATTAAGCATGTCAAAACTCATAAGTATTTTCTTAGTAGGTATAATCAAGGGAGAAGAGGGTGAAGATCAGAACCCAAACTTGCGAAAAAAGACATTCATGAAATTTGTAGATTCAATAATAACTGAACACTGGATGACAAGGGATAGGGGAAAAGCTTCGACAGAGAGCGAGGGAGAAGCTTCGATGATAGAGGACGAGGAGAGTGAGATTCGGAAAAGGTTCCTCGTCAGTCCTTCGTTGCAGTTTCCTGGTCACCAACATCTTCGTCCTTCTTTACGCGTTCTTGGTCACCGGCATCTTCGACTTCATCGTGTTATTCATTTTCGATCTTTGGTTTGATCCAAAGTGAATGGATATTTTAATTTAGTCCAATACAAATGTGTTCTCAAGAAAATATGATTTTCTGTGGGGTGATGGAATGGATTCATTTTCAAGGCATATCCTTGAGTATCATTTTTCAAGAAGGCAAACTCCTACCAACCAAATTAAGTAATTTTCTTTTTACCCGAAAAATAATAATAATAATAATAATAATAAAGAATCTTCTCTTTCCTCCCATTCCTTTTTCCGACCTTAAATTTCAACCAACCAAACGGAGCCTAACGTTATTAAATTAATTCTACTATCTTATAATGATGTATTAGTAATAACAGTAAGCGACACAGTACTTATTACCATGATGAGAACCGAGAGACCACACTCTAAATTTTAGATATTGAGAAATTTTATTTTATTTTTTTTTGGAATCAAAGAGACGTGCACTAATGTTCTGAAATTACAAGTAGAATTAAATCACAATCTCCAACTTATAAAAAAATTTGCATGCCATTAAATTACAACACATTGGCATGCAAATTTAGGTTGTGATCTATGCTTTTGTTAGTTAATAAATCCCAATTATTTACCAGAAAAAAAGAAAATAAATAAATTGTAACTTTTTTAATTTATTGCCTGATATCTGAAAAAATCTAGAAATATTACCATTTTTCATTTGGATTAATTTGGATCCCCGCTGTGTGACGCTACTTTACAAATGACAACTTTACAAGTATTTTAGGAATATTTCTGACATTTTTATTTAATGTAATTATATATTTTAAAATTTGAACTCAAGATTTTAATATAAACTAATTCAATTTTCTTAACCAGTCAAATCTAGCACCCTTGGATTGAAATTCTAGCTTTTCATGACCTGTTAATGAACACACAGGGCTTGGTATATCTCTAACCGTTTTCAGTTTATTCCTTGGAAATACAATATTGCATTACTGTTTGAGGCGCTTAAAAAAGTGGATATTCATGTAATTAAAAATATTGAGCAAACAGAGAGAGAATTAAAAAAATTTAAAGCCCATACACTCTGAAAGTTTTCTAGAATTTATGGTTACTTCATCATCTCTGTCTATATAAACATCCTCATGCCGTTGCTGTGTCTCGCTGTAATCTCTATCCTTCTCTTTCATTCTCATCCCAATCCTCATTCTTTGTTTCTTCTTTCTTCGATTCAATATTTCTGCGGCCGACAACAGACCAACTGCTACACAATCATTAATTTAGTTTATCCAAAATCGAGAACCTGGTCAAGCCAAGATATCGCCTTCTTTTCTCTTCTTTTCTTTTTGGTATCATGGAAGAGGTTCCGTTTCTGCTGAGTTTTCCCGTGCCTGTGAAAGCAACAGCTCTCTGAATCCTCAAAATCTGAACTCGGTACGACCCATATTTGCTGTGTCTGCACACTTTATATATATATATATATATATTCCGTAGCTCATCATAATTTTGATCTTAATTGTTGTTTGTTTCACACATATTGTTCAGGATTTGGGTGTTAGAACTTTTCATGTCGTTTGTTGTGGCCCGAACAGGGCGACACCGACAGCGTTACGAAGACAACTTTCGACTTGTGTCTGGGTAAGACTTTCTTCTTCATGCTTTAGCGCCGCGGATTCTCTCTTCCCCATAAATTTTTTCCCTTTCTTCTTTTGTCAGATACATTCTTATGATTCTGCTTTCTTTTTTCTTTTTGTTACCTTATATTTGTTACTCAGTCCTTCCCATTCATCTCTTCTCTTATCTTCTTCTCTTCCTTCTTTGTTTTTTTTGCCCCTGTTTGTCTCTTACAGCAGAATACAAGAGTAGATAACAATTTTTGTCATATTTAATTTGCATGATTGTCTTCTCCGCTTCATATTATAATATTTTTGTCTTTTTCATATGTTTACCTGTTCATTACAATCATGTTAGTTACAATTGTGGGCCTTATCATTGACTTAGCAAATATATTATACTTTAAATTCTGTAATTTTTTTTTCTTTGGGGTACAATTGTGTAATTGTGTAATATATTTTGGCTTTTTAATCTACTTTATAATTTTGGTTGAGATGGGATTGGTGGATTAGATCATACAGATACAATAGCTTGTTGTGAGAATTAACGATTAAGATCATTTTTTAAATAAAGCACTTAGTGCTCTGCTACAGGAAGCACTGAATTGCAGTCCAGTTCTTTAAGAGGATCATAAAATTCAAACTTTTTCAAGACTTAAGGATAATACGAAGCAGAGTAAGTAACTGGGGGATGTGATTACAAAATTCAAACATTTTCAAGACTCAGATAACATGAAGCAGAGTAAGTAACAGGGGGTGTCATACCTGTATATGGGACTATGGATTGTAAGTAATATTTCTTCCACGTCAATTTCTTCAAGTCGTTAAAATATTTTTAGTGATTGAATGTTAAATTCAACCAAACTGCTATTAGTAGCTGCTGGAAAAAAATTTCCCGAGCAAAACGCAAGATTTCCCTCTTTATCAGGCCTGATGGATAACATTTTTTTTTTTAACTTGAAAAATCTCGTTGATCCACGACAAGAGGACAAAAAGCGTGTACAGGATTTGTTGACGAAAGAACCAAGTGTTTTTTTTTTTTTTTTGGGACAAGGACGAAGTAAACCAAGCGTTGCCAAATTTTGACAAATTTCATTCCCCCTCCACGTTTCCTCATTTTACCATCCATAGAACTATTTGGGCAAGAAAATAGTCATTACATCATATGATCAGAATCAAGGTACACAATTTTGAACAATTCATAGAGCAAGGAGTTGGACCTCTCATCTCAAGTCTTGCATACCGTCATAACTTGGTGGTGAAGTTTCAAGGACCATCATTTGCATTTGATGATCTTATCAACCATATGGTTCATTCAATCGTTACCCATAGATTCCATACAACAGGTGTATTCCCTACAGATGGAGGAAGGACATCAATGATCAAAAGGGGCATACAGAGCACACAATAGAAGTTCTTATGGTTACTTCACCAAAACGTGATGATCTAGTATTTCCAAAGGTACCCCTTTTTTTTTGCCTTGGAAAATTTCTGAAGGTTTTTTTTTTTTACTGTTTGCACCATGTTCCGTTGTCCTCTCCTTCCTGATGCAAAGTTTCACTTTGTTCTCTTGGTAGGGAGGTTGGGAGGATGATGAGACTGTCCTAGAAGCTGCTTGTCGTGAAGCGTTAGAGGAAGCAGGGGTGAAAGGAATACCAAGGGTAGGTTCTTTTTCCTACTTGATCATCAAGTTATAGATTACAGTTCTGCATAAATTGTATGAGCATGATAATTAGGATGACAATATAACAGAGCAAGTATTTGTATCATAGATAAGACCCATCAACTTGCAAATTTGTCCTATAATAATCTAATGCTGAAATTTCAGTCAAATCCTGGAAGCAGGGCAGCCTTGAGCTCAAAAAGTAATGCAAAAACTAGCTGTGTAAACAGATCATCAGAACTAAGCTTTTTTGGCTGCAAGCTTCTTTTTAAGTGGTGTGACATGCATTACGCACTTCTACAGCAGTTCCATGCACGTGTCTCCACTTCGGTTTGAACTGATGGGAAAAATGTTGGCGTCGCCTGCTATACAATTGAAATGAAATATGGTATTGAACTTGTTCAAAAGTGGGTGTTTTGTATGCAAGTCACATTAGTCAACGCAACTGAATGTAAATTAAGAGCATGTTCCGAGCATCTCATTTTCTTGTAGTTGAAAATAAAGATGATTCTGCCATCTGAATGCAGTCTATTGAGATTGGTTATGATAGCTATGCAATCATTTCCAGTAATATGTTCATTTTGATGACAAACGAAGAACACCATTAGTACAAATGATATTCTTTCTATTTATATAAACCATCATATTTAACAAATATTCTGTAGCTATCAAGTTGGCTTTCTTCTTTTCCAGGAGAACCCCTTGGGAGTGTGGGAATTTAGAAGTAAAAGCAGTCAGGAATTGTGCAAACTGGAAGGAGGCTGCAGAGGATACATGTTTGCCTTGGAAGTGACTGAAGAACTCGAGACCTGGCCAGAGCAGAAAAAACGTGATCGGCAATGGGTAAATAATAATATCATGATTCCTGAATAAGTCTGTCATGCATGAAATTGATAAGTGCTTCAACCGCAAAATGTGACTAGTTGAATTTTCTGCGTTTATCATGGCATGCTTCAACTGTAATGGGGTTGTTTTAAACTCAAAGTTTTATGTGTTTGCCTCACCTGAAGTAAATAAACATCTTCACAGTTAAATGTAAGAGATGCATTTATTCTCTGCCGGTACGATTGGATGTGTCAGGCGCTAGAAGAGTTTGTGAAAGTTATTATGGCAGAGGACATAGAGCTTCAGAAGCAGGAAGAGAAAATCGATCTTCCTTTAATTCAAATACCAGATGTGTCAACTAACATCTCTTCCTTTAGCCCAAGTATCAGATGTGTCAACTAACATCTTTAAAATACCTTCTACTACAACTACTCTACATCTTAGTATGTCTGCTCAACTCAAACACCCGCCACTTGCTGCTAAGGATATCACAGCCATTCACGTTGGTTGTTGACTCTTCTTGTATGTACCCTTTTGCAGTAGGTTTCTGTAATGAATCCATGGTGTCCAGTAGCTCTAGCTCCTTTTAATTTGATCGCCAACAAGCTGTGAAGTGAAGGCTTGGTTTCACACATCTAGGCCATCCACTTCATTCTAGCTCCTTTTTCTTAATTTCTTTGTGTTGATGTAAAATATGTTGGTACAATCTCAACTTGAAATTTCAACTTAAGGTGACATTTGGCACATCGACATCATGGTTTTTCAAATATGTCATAATCAATTGGTAAATCATATCATGTTCTTAAAAAAAAAAAAACAATGTTTCCAAGTTTTATCGTTATCATATTTGTTGTCTCTAAATATCATGACACTAAAATACTTGAGAAATTAAATGGTTCACAAAGCAAACACCGCCTAAAATATTTTTGTTTCACCTTATCTTTCGGATAAACAGGCTAATAGAATGGCAATATTGGTGAAAATCTGGTCATGCCACGGGCCCTGACGATGCTGTCCGGTGACAGAAAAACCTTAAGATGTCACTTTGCTTGCAGATAGTAGTGACTAGTGAGTTTATGCTCAACAATTAGTTCTTTCATATTTTTTTTCTTGTTAATGACTGCTTTTTTATCCAATTCCTCTCTCTCTCTACATACATAGTACATACATACTTAATGAACAAGGTTTAATATAATGATTTTTTATATGATTTTCAAATAATAAATTTGTTATTACGAGGAAATTATTAATGAATAACATCAAAAGAATTAAAGCCAATGGAATCCACAGAACAATCACTTGATTCATTCTTATCATTGGGACGTGCTCATAATGGACAGCGGAAAGTTTTCTTTGGAATACCAAATTGTCAAGTTGCAAAGAAACGTCAATGTCACGAGACAAATGGGATCAGTGCCTTTCAGCGCCTAATTTTCTTTTCTTTTCCCAAAAAAAAAAAAAGAAAAGAAATATTGGTCTCCAGCCGAATAATAAAGAGGTTTAATTTCAATATTACCCGATTGAAATATTCCATGAACACCTGGACAATAGTAACTAGTGAAAGCGATGCTTGGTCGCTTTGCTTGTAGTTGTAGGCAGGTCCCTTCCCCTCGGGATGATAACTTCAAGATTCAGAATATCCACATTAAACAGCTTCACTTTCACATTTGAAAATACTGTCTTCCACTACATGCACTATTACATGGAATAAAATATAAGCCGTGACAGCGACAAAACTAACAACTTCACTTAAAAAGCTGTCTTTTATGGGAAGATTTAGATTTGCCAAATTGCAGAAATCCAATGAGCATGCACACATAGGTATTTAAAATACTTCCCTCGTCCCTTAATATAAGTCCTAATATTGAAAAACACACAAAAAAAGACTTGACTAGAAATTAATTTGCTTAAAAGAATTTGAGAAGTTTCGGAAATGGGGTTCTTCGATGATATAAATTTGAAGTTTTAAATTGATCAAAATTCCCTCACCAAATCCTCTCCTCTCTCCTCTCCAACACCCATTCAATCATGATTTTGACAGCTATTGATATCTTTGTCTTAATTTTCTTTGTTGCAACTTTGTTTTGACTCTAATTAGCAACTTTGCCTTAATATGGAAATGGTCTAATACTGGGATTCTGTGTCTTGCAATTTATCATGCCATGTTCTTTGTATTTCAACTTTTCGCATAAGCCATTGATGGAGACCACTACTTTTTTCTTTGTGTATGTGTTTATTTCAGAAATTTTGGTGGAAGCCATTGCTACAAGATTTTGAATGCATAACATGCACAATTTATTCAAGATGCAGTGTTTCCCTTGTGAAGTTGAGCACAAAATGTAGCTCACAAGTTCAAATCATATGGGCAACGATAAAGTAAACTGTTGGTGTTTCTTAATGGTGGTAATTTTCCAATTCAATAATTTTTTTATTTTTTAATTTAGTTCCCTTTTGTTATTCAATGGGCTCTTATTTTGTTTGCTAACACATGGCCATCCTTATTTTTTTTGAAATTTTAGTTATCTTTTTGTTTATGGCTACAAATATTATAACATCCTGATTTTTTATCTCCTGATTTACTAAGCTTAATTAAGATAATTGAATAATAGTTGTGGTATGTGACCAAAAAAGTTTAATAATCATATTCGATTGTGTTTTAGCCTTAATTGTGGGTATGGTATCAAGTCAGGTCACCCAGGTATCAAAAGGAGAAGAAAATAAAGGGTTAGTGTTGTTGTGTTACACGCCGCGGTGTGGAGTGCATCCGCCATGGTGCATAAAAACTTCAGATGTGAGAATAGGGACCTCTCTATGTCATGCGCTGTGACGCATGGTCATTTTCTATGGCTTATCAGTCACAAATTGAGATAGAAAATAGAGAGAAAGAAGAAGAGAACGATCAAGCTCTGCTAGGGTTCACTCTTGGACAATATTAGGAGTATTTTGGAAGCTACAAACATTCAAGGTAAGTATCATGCTTTTATTCTCCCATTTACTTCTATATTATGAAGTTAATGGTTAGGGTTTGATAGTGGAATATGATTTTCGGCCTATATAGATTATGGATCTGAATCTATTAACTCAAATAAAGTTAATAGGAGTAGATTAGAGTATCTAAACCTAGGTATAATAAATTTTGATGTCTTGAGTGGTTGAGCTCCATATATATGTGAAAATTACGTTAATATGGGCTGTTGGAAGAGTGTGATGCCATTAATGAGAGTTTAATGACTCATTAATGTTAATGGAGACTAAAAATGATTAATAAACCTAATGGTAGGCTCAAACTCATGTAAAGTAGGCATTGAGCAATTTAGAAGTGGAGAAATGAGAGTTGAATGCTTGAGTTTGGAAATATTAATGGAGATCAACTTGTTAAATTGTAAATTAAGCTCTTAGACACCAATTTGACCTGAGAATTCAATCTTGAAAGCTATAATATTGAAGGGTAAATTTTTAACCTCTCAAAGGTTTAAGGTAACTGGGAAAACTCTACTTTAGGTAGTTATATGTTAATTATAATGTGAATTGTGTATTTATCATGCGAATTTTGACTTGTGAAATTGGGTTACATGCATTAAAACTTGGTGTCCATGTAAATTGTGTGATGTGTATTAAACATGTGAAAGTGGTTGCAAAATAAGTTTTGAAGTGATAATATGGTGTTCAAAAAGAATTTCTCTTTACAGTGTGTTGTGAATGAGTGATTGATAATGAATATAATAAAAAGGAATCTAAGAGGTTAAAAGTGATGTGTTTATGTGTTATAAATGAAAATAAGAATTTATGCTCACTTGAGTAGCACTTGGTCATGAGCTCAACATGTTGACTTTGATATTGAATAAATGAAAATGTGAAAATAAGTGAATATTGTATATGGCACGATCAGTGGGTGGGAGTTCACTTGAAGATTGGGAGTAAAGAAAAATTCATATAATATTTAGGCTGTCCTCTGTTGCACGAGGATATAGCCTTGTCCCATAATTTGTTGAAGGACTATCCCACAATTTATCGAGGAATTGTCCTATAGTTTATTGAAGGATTAGAACCAAGCTAACTTCACCAATTCAATAAGAAAAATAGTTTAGGGTATGCAACACTTCAGAGATTCAAGAGTGGGGGAAGCCGTGGTCTGAGAGTGAGTCATGTGATCTTTGGCCGGGTCATACCTCACGATTGATAAGTTTGTATAATCCAATCACACAGACGAATCCCTATTCAGTGTTATAGCCCACGATTTCAGTCTGAAAAAATAAGGAGAGTATAAAATTGGTTGATCATTATTTATGTAAATATATGATGTGTCACATAATTGTAATGTGGTAAGTTATGTGGATAACGAGTCATGGTCACATGTTAAATGTATTGTGACAATGCACTGTGTGGGATAAAGATGATATAAAATAAGTAATAATAAGTTATGATGTGTGTGTAAGCATGTTTTAAGAACTTAATTTCACATATAAGTGTTTGATTTATAATTAATATATAACTGTATAGGGTAGATTTTACTTTAGTTATTAAGTGCTAAACTCACCCCTTTTATTTAGCACTTTATAGACTCTGGCTCTAGTGTAAAGAGGGAAAAGGCTCAAGAGGCTAGAAATTAGTTCATTCTTACAGTAGGCCTTTAATTTATATTTATTTTGTGTAATAGAATATGGTTGCCAATTCTAGGTTGCATATCGTGTACTTGAACTATTTTATTAAGCAAATGTTTGAATTGTATTTTAAACCCTACGTAATTGTCTATGAAGAGATATATATATATATGTTATAGGGCTAAAATATTTGTACAAGTGTGAAAATTATATTTTAAATGTGTTACAATGATTTTTGATGCAATGCAATGAAAATCGCCTCCCTCTTCTATTTTTTGAGAAAAAGGGGTTGAGGAGTGATTTTATATTATACGAATATTTAAGTGCATGTGACGTGTTGTATTGATAATCTTAGGTCCAATAGACATGGTTTAGGTGTTAGGAAAGGCTTTTGGCATTTATTGTGGGTTTTGGACACCTTTTTTGCCTAAAAGTTGTAAAAAATAATAAAGATGTGTTTGGGTATCCAATTTCTTGGTGTAACTTGTTTTGAAAGTTAAACTCATGTCATTAGCTAGTGTATGTAAAGAACTTTTTATAAACACCTAGATAACATCATTCGAATGTTGGATGGAGAATCGAGATGCATCGAAAGTTCCTCAATTTTGCTATCAAATGACAGTAGAATCTGCTATCATTTTTGTGCAGCACGCTGCGGCGCATGGCACCTAAGTCACTACGTGTGGCACAGAGAGCAACACACCATGGTGTAGTGTGCATAAGTCATGGTGCATTACCTTGTTTCACAGCAAATGAGTTATTTTTCAACTGTTTTTTATTTTTTTACTCCTCCAAGGTATCTCATGCTTTCGTAACTTATTTTTACTCTAATATAAGAGATTATGATTGATTTAAACTCATTTTGATTAAGAAAACTTGAGATCCCTTGATTTTAAGTTAAAACTTGGTAATCATCTTTTTAGGTTAATCCTTGATTACCATGAGTTTGTTTGATTAATTGTGGTTAGTAGAATGAGATTTTACAAATATGATAGAAGAAAAATGTTTCAATGATCGTAGCTCAAATATTGAAATCTATACCTTCAACTTACTTCGTAACAGGTATTTTTATTAAAATTCTATTGAAGTTGAGCAAAAGCAACTAGATAAAACAATTCTTAATTACATTTCTTAGTGATGAAAATGGAT